CCAGTGGCGGACTCCCTCAGACATCGGTGCGTTGGTGGTTCTTTGTGTCCGGGGATGGGCGTCCAGGTACACACCGGCTCACTCCTTGGCGGCCGCTTATCGGGGCCTGGAGCCTGGGGCTCGCTCGGGCCACTCACGGGCGCGTCACTGCAACTCCCCCTGGCTTCTGCTCCGCGGCTGCTGAGTGAGCCCTCATCTGGGACTCTCCTCAGCTCTTTCTGGGACAGTGGCGCGGCTGCCCCTCTGTTGGTCTTCCTTGGTCTCTTGTGTTCTGGGGGCCTCTGGATGTCTGGAGTTTTGATCTCCTCCATACCTGCTTCATGCCCTGGAGGACGGGGCTGTGGCCCCCCCACACCCTCTAGCAGATCATTACATGAAGGAACCTTTTTTAAAAAAAACAAGCGCATCCATGCTCACAGGTGTACACATGGGTGATCACACCCACAAACTACACCCTTTTTGGCTCCTACCTCAAAGCACACTGTGTTCTGTTGATCTTATGTGCTGCACAATAATGTTTAATATTTAGTATTTACTGTCATATTCCCATATATCATTGTGATGCTGTTTATTCTATTACTCTTTCCATCACATTTGTGGCTTCTTCTCCGCTGCTTCTAAGTGGAAATTGGTACATTTGACTTCACTACAATTATCTGACATCTTTAGTTGTTATTTTACAGATGAAGATTTGTGCTCATGAAACGCATGAAGTACAATTTTGTTTCTGTAGTTGATCAATCAGTTATTTGACTTGCATGAATTCAGCAACTATTATTATATGTTAAGTCTTTAAAAGTACTTACTGTTGATATTATTTTCTGTAAATTGTTCAAAATCATAAATGTGTGAGAAGCACTCAATCAGGGGCGACTCCAGCATCAAACCTTTAGGAGGGCTCAGCTCAGTCTTAATGTCATGCTTTTAGTGTTGCCTTCAAAAGAAATTAATTTTTGGATGACCTACAGCAGTGTCTAAGAATAACAGATTTTAATATAATACATCAGCTTTACGGTGGTCACTTTAGTTTAAAACCCGATGCAATGGCACAGTCATGTTGACAGTAAATTTCAAAAACAGTTTAAGAAAAAGCAGATCAGAGGAGAAACCTGCACGGCATTGTTTCAGTCTCTTAACCACATAGAGGCAGGTCCACCAAATCATCAAGTATTTAAAGTACCATTATACAATACAGACAGTTCAAAATCCCCCTGCGACTCCACGTACCTGCACAAGAAGCAAACTGGTAATAGAGCTGATTTTAAATGACAGCTTTTGAATTCATGCAAACCCAAACACTTTGTTGTGCAGACTCAGCACAGAGACTCGTGTACACCAATTCAGAGAGTGGAGAACAGATTTGTAGTCTGTCACATCAGTATAGTGGCATTCATCCTGTTCAAGTTTACAGTGATGTGAATGTTGCTAAATGCTATTATTCACATTAATAGCAGAGTGCTACTGAAAAGCACACAACGCATCCATTTAATGCATGTAGATGTTGTGAAAAATCCACCTGATCTCTGTTAGTTCCAGTCTCTCTGTCCGCGCTTCCTCTTTGTGCTGACAATCACACACAAACATTTTATATTCAACTAAAAAAAATAACAAAAAAAATATGTATATATTCTTGTAATAATTATTTTAAGAGCAGTTTCGGATCATCGTTTGATAAGAGCATAGCACCCTGCTTAGTTATGAGCGATCACCATAGATGAATGTGGGCAAAGCAGAAGTGACATATATGTAGCCAGGTGGAAGGTCTTTATTATCAGACATGTCCCTGACTTTGACTTCATGTCCACTCTTACCTGTTTCTTATGTGTGCTGTGTTCCTCCATCTTTCTCCCTTTTTCTCCCCAGCCATGAAGTCTTTTGAATTTTCACTCAATAACAGCACCTTTTAAAGTTATTTGTTTTTATTTATTTAAACATATAGTAAAATTAATATAAAGTGGTACATGTTATGCACTACCTAAAGTGTGAAGTCACAGAATGATACTATTTAGTGCAGTTTTTAATCATTACCAGTCTTCATCTTAGAGCTTGTGCTCTTATTGTGCCATGATGTCTCCTTTTAAACTGTGTGGATATTCACCTCTTCTTCATCCTTCCTGTTCCTTTCACCAAACTGCTCACTCTTGTTCTCCTCTGATCTCACTTCCTGTTCTGGTTATAAGAAGAATGCAGTCAGCATGTGTCAAAGACACTCCCTTAGATTAGATATTTAACATTTTATTTATCAACTATTTTATGCACTAAATCAATCAATTATTAAACAAATATCATATTGTAGAAAAGCAAATAATAATGCACTAAGCAGTTTCATGCCACAAGAGCTAAATGGTCACTTCACTGTATTTATTTCCCACAAACTACTATACCTAGGATCTTCAAGTTTCCACTATAATTCATTAATCTGCAGCGACTGTAGAACATAAAGTATATTGACCTCTATTGCTTTCTTTATGACTTGGCCTGAATACACACACATACACATCTTTGAATAGCACAACAAATGAGGTAATTTTCCATGTGTTTTAATAGGTTTTAGTGATTTATGGGTTTTATGTATGTGTGTGTATTTTGGTCTTCAGTGTAAATTTATACAAACTGTAATTTTTTCAGATGAAAGATCCATTATTTAATGTTGCTTTATGTTGACTCTATGGAGAATAAAGCCTTGCATGAGTGTTGCTATTTTTAATTGTGGAGTGGAAGACCTACTGTACTTGTTGTTTAGTCTGTGATCTGAATGCCAAATTTAACCAAATTGAAAGCAAAGGTTACAGCTGGGATATTCCACACATTTGAAAGACTCATTGTGTAACTCAGATGTTTATGAGCTTTGATCACTCCAGCATAATAATTATCATGTAACTGCAAGAAGACTTAATGAAACTGAAACAATGCACCCTAACACAGGCATTTGAACTGTACGCTAAGGAGTGCATGAAGTGTACCTCTACAGCTGAAAAGAGTTTGACTCTATAATTTCTGGATCTACTGATTTGTTTCTGATGTATCTCTTCTTTTATTTAGCCTGTATTTGTATAGTGCTTTACTAGTCCCTAAGGTCCCCAAAGCGCTTTACACAACCAGTCATCCACCCATTCACACACTGGTGATGGCAAGCTACATTGTAGCCACAGCCACCCTGGGGCGCACTGACAGAGGCGAGGCTGCCGGACACTGGCGCCACCAGTAGGCAACGGGGGAAGTATCTTGCCCAAGGACACAACGACCGCGGCCGTACAAGCCGGGGCTCGAACCGGCAACCTTCCGGTTACAAGGCGAACTCCCAACTCTTGAGCCACAATCGCCCCATTATGAACAGAAAGATGATGAAATCCTCTTTATTTGAGAAAATGTCCTTAAACTATTTTTCCTCCTTCTTACTGAGTTTCCAAGCTACCTCTTTGTTAAGTGAATAAACTATTTGAACAAGAAAGATATCATGGCATTTATGATGATACTGTGTGTGTGTGTGTGTGTGTGCGTGCGTGCGTGCGCGCAGAGGGGAGGTCAAGACAGGAGCTCGCTGAGTTGACCTGGTACATCAAGTTTGGATTTCCCCAGTTATTGGTAAACAAAAAAGATTTAAACTTAAAAGATTTTGAGTTCATGCACACTAGAAAAAAAAATTCTCTTCATCACAATCATTTGTTTAAAAATATGGCTATTTTACTGATCTATGGTTATTATTAAAGAGGAAGGAAAGAAGAAGAGGAAGCCTGAGCCCAGGTTCTGTCCATTTTCATAACAAGTGACAGCACAGACATCTGAGCTTTTTCATCATAAAGATTGTGATGTGAAGCATCAGCAGGTAAAGTGTCGTTAAAGTGTCACTTCAATAATGCTGCTGGGAGAAAGAAGTGTTGACACATACTAGTTTTGAATAAAAGGTTTAAAACACAAACAGTCGAATCCTAGGTGTTGCTTTTAAGCTTAAAGAATATAATAAGTTCTAAGACAATTCAGTTTACTTCTTACTGTCCATGTTGTGTTGTGGTATTTACTTTATCATGAATGTACGCTACTTTGTTCTAGCGACTGTAAAAAAAAAAATTGTATTCATGAAATAAACTAGACTTTCACAGTCTGCATCTTCCACAGTTTTTATGCTTTTTTTCCACTCCAAGTTTGACACAAACCCACAGACAACCAGAGTTAACTATGTGAAGCAATCACAGACACTGTAATGGCTGATTTTTCTAATAAACACAATCAGGTTAACATTAAGGTTTAACATTGAAGGAGATTTGTTCCATAGTCACAGTTATACTTGTATTTCCTTTACTTACATCCAACACTACTATGTTCTGTTTCAGTCCAGGTGCTGGCAGTTTATCCTTTGTTGTTTGGACAAATAAGCTTAAAGCTAAACCTTCATGTTTTTGATGGGAAAGTTTGTTAAACCATTGCTCAACTTATGTCTGCATGAGAGCAGATAATTATGATGTACTTGTAAAAAGACTTGATAAGCAGGTCACAGCTGAATCAAGGGGTAATAAAAATAAGACCACGCGGTCTCAGCACGACTACACATGCAGTGGGTTAGCGCACACATTTGAAAGACTCATTGTGTAACTCAGGATGTGACCCCTTATAAAGGAGACAGAGAAGTTCTGTTGTTCAGTCAAGTAAAACCTGGTGAAAGCGCAATTCTAAGACTCTGGTCGTTGCTTAAGTGTATAGATAAAAAATCTTTTCTTCATACATTCTTTTCTTACTATATTAGTATAATCGCCAAATCGATCATTTAATATTTATCTCCTGAAACGATCTACATTAACTTTTTATCCCTAGAAATGTGTTTCCAGAGTCCCAGGTTTAGTGACTTCCTGTCCACCATCACATTAGCCGAGTAGTTGTCAAATTTGAGGGGAGCAGAGAAGATCAGACACCAGTCAGCAGGTCAGAGGCCATCGCTCATTTCACAAATCAATCACTTGATTTATAAATGGAACAAACACCCCATCAGACCAGGTAACGACCCATTATGAGACAACAGCCGTCTGAGAGGAGATGTTCTGTATCACAAAACATGGGAAACAAACAAACTCTAGGCATTCTGAAATATATAAAGCTCAACAAAAAAAGACAACCATATCAGATCCTGATGTAATTCATGTTGTTGTTGTCTTTATTAGTCATTTAAAAAGAGGTCCAGAAAAAGTGTCCAGGAAGAGATTCTACTATTTATGCAGCACTGCCCCGTGTGGCCACAAAGACACACAACAGCTTCATTTCTCAGCCTGTTGCCTTCTTTTTCCTTCATGATGTAAACAGTGAATGAACTGAAAGAAGTCAACCCATAAATTGTTAAAATGATACAACAATCATGATGATTATGTAACAAGTTGTAGTTGACTTTCTGGTGGTCGTTTTGGTATACAATTTAAAAGCCATTTTCTTTTATAAATACACCATACACTTTGTTCTTGACCATTTCTTTTCCTCATATCCTTAACGGACAGTGGAGGAACACTACATCTAGCTTCTGTTTAACATTTATCCAGGCGCCCCCACACTGTACCTCTAAAGAAACCAAGGGAGAGACAGACACACAAAGATTTCCACTTGAATCTTGATCTCAAAATAGAAAAAGTTTTATCACAAAATAATTACAAGAGCACAAATAAAAACTCGAAACCAAAGACAAATGAAATAAAAGGGCAAGGCCCTGCGACTGAACACAGCACATCTTGCACACCTTTAAAATTCACAAATTTCAGTTTTCTTTGTCAGTCTGTGGTATTAAAAAAAATCTCAACATGATGACCAATGTTTGACCTTTCACCTCTAGCATAGTTTTCTCTGGATTTCAATCTGGCCACTCCTGAAATGACATTTATCAGTGTATGTACAGCATCCATTTTTGGTTTAGACAGTCTGACACAGACCGTCTCCATGGCAACCTCCGAGACTCTTCTTTTCCTAAAAAAAAAAAAAAGTCTCTATATGACCACCAACAAACCTGTTACACCATATTTTTTCACCAGCTCACCTTTGCTGAAGGTTCTCATACAAATCTAAACATCTTTTGAGAAAGTCCACATCACTCTGATCTGTAATGAAAACATAAAAACAATGACAACACCAGCAGAGGCCTCCGACATAAACCTGGCAACATAAATCTAGATAACTTTGCTTATTTATCTCTTAAAACATTCAACAAAGATTAAAAATTCTAACAAATATACCAATATAAATATATATATTCCAGAAACAGGACATTCCAGTTAGATCCTCTCCAAACTTATACTGGGCAGCTCAGCCCATCATCCACTTTTACAAAACAGAAAGCCGCCTGATACAACAGCCCCAAAAGTGACAAAAATCCACCTCCAAAAAGCAAAACTTCTCATAATGGAAAAACAAAAAAGATTGTCAATCCTATCAAACACTTTCTCTTAATCTAAAGAAATTATTCCAACATCAAACTGTACAATTTACAAATAACTACCAAGTCTCTCATGAGAAAACTCTTGTTCACATTAGAGCTGTGTGGTACACAGTACGACTGATCCCTGTGAGTGATTCATTTCACAAAGTGTTTCGGCCTGGTGGCCAGTACTTTTGAAGGAAGTTAGTAATCTGTGCATAACAGAGCCACGTCTCCATTTCTAAGCAGAGACAAATCTCTGTTTTTAGGGAGAAGAGAGAGCCCCACATGATGGCTCGATGCCAGTAACAGTCTTTTACAGAAGTCTGCAGGCAGCCCACCCTGTGCAGGAGCCAGCTGACCAGCAGCAGCACTAATCTCCTCCAAAGAAAAGTTAGCATCCAGGACAGCTCTGTCCTCAGAGCTCAGCTGAGGAAGCCCCTGCAGCAGCTTCTCCACTCAAGCTTTATTACTTTACTCCATCCCTAACATGGTGGTGTAAAAGTCCACGGCATACTGACCTGCTCTGCATCCAGGAAAAACCACTAACGCCACATAAACTACACTAACAACACCATACACAATTACACTAACTCATAATCAGCCTCACAACACACCACACATAAAAAAAACACAACTTTCAGCCAGACAAACCACACAGTCCACCAAACTCCATCATTCACAAGAGAGAGGGAGAGATATAAAATGAGAGAGTTTAGTGGATGTGTGTTTGTGTGTGTGATACACACAATTTATGAATGTACTCTCCAATAAAGGTTATGTAGTTGATGAAAAGTGGGTTAGATTAAATGTTTACATTTCTTGTGCATGAAGTAAACTATAATATTTATATGTAAAATTCCACACCTACACCTGTGCGCCCTCACACTGCAGCACATTTTACTCCCCTGGTTGCAGAAACCATTCTATATTTTGTCACAGCTGCAAAAGAAGCTCCACTCAAAGAAACTCAAAGTTGATGGAGAGGAAGAGATTTCAGAACATGAGGCAGGAAGGTGGGGAGAGAGTGAGGCGGTATGGCACACAGGACACGGTCGAGGGCAGACTCAAACCCAAGCTCCTGCAGTGGGAACTCTAACGTTTAGTACATGTGTCCCCACTCAGCCAGGTGAGATATAGCAGAACCATCAATTCAGAGTCTGACAGTAAGGGTGAAGACGAGCCTGACTGTTGGTCTGCTCCAAAACAAGCCCATAAGCAAGCTTTGAAATAATATGTTACAAAAGTGTGAAACTGCGACATGAAATTTGATTTGAAAATGAAATTCATCCTGATCAGGAGCTGTTATGATCTAAATGGTGTTCTAGATCCAGTAAGCATTCATTCAACTTGTATGCAGCAAAATTAAAAATAAGTTACCACATGTTTTTTTAATTTGGTAAATAATTGATAAAATGTTAAAAGTACTGGTCGTACCTTAGCCACATGTTTTTTCTGTGTCCTGAGCTACAAGGTTTCTGGACAGGGTATTTTGCTATTATGTCAACTGTTCTTGGGGTAACTCTTCATCCTTGTCCTCTGATTGCTGTATTTGGGATTCCTGTTCGCTCACTTACACTTGATTCCACACAAAAGGATATTATAGCCTTCACATCCCTATTAGCGAGACGTCTAATATTGTTGCATTGGAAGTCTGTTAAGTATCCTACTGTTTCCCGGTGGCTTGAAGATGTCATGTTTTTTTTAAAACTTGAAAAAATTAAATATACGTTGAGAGGTTGCACAGCCAAATTTTTTCACAAGTGGCAACCCTTTATCTCTTATTTTGCTAGTCTAGAGGTATTGCCTGTTTAAATCTACTTTTGTTACTGTTATATTCCTCTAATATGTTTGATGGTTGTGTTGATCTGTGTGGGACTGGGGGGCGTTGTGGTTTGTTTATTTTTTGTGTTATATATATATATATATATATATATATATATATATATATATACATACATACACACACACACACACATATATATACACACACACACTTAGGAAAATGAAGAAAGGTTGACTGTATTTCGGTAACTACTTACAGAAAAAGATTGATGAGCACAAAAAAAAAAACCACAAAAAAAAGAAACAAACTTTAATTGTTTCTGATTAGAAGCTGTACAATCCGGACTGACTTTAACAAATGTGCTATAGGCTCACCTGGAAAATAGTGAGCTTTAAAAGACTGATTTTGTTCCAAAGGCTTGCACAGACCTCAACCAATCCTAAGGCTAATTAGCACGGCTAGAATTTTAAAAACATTTGTTAAATGATGTCATTGCTAACATATACCTGTTTTAGAGCATGGTGAGTAGCGAGAATGCAAAGTTATTGTTACCTCTAAAAAGAAAAATGTGAAGATGTGATATTAGCATGAGCTATATAGTATCTCCAAAAGTTGATTCTGTTCATCTGGACTTTACGTTTTGTGGGAAAAACGTTTCGTCACTCATCCAATTGACTTCTTCAGTCTCAGCTGACTGCAGGTTTCCCCAATCTTATAAACAGTGCATGTATATGGTTACCTGCCCCCTTGCAAAACTTTGCTAGACCCGTCCCTGCACAGTTACCAGCTGTCAGTAAAAAAGGATCCTGATGTTATTTGTCTCTTAGAAACAGTTCATAACTTCCCTTCAACTTATTCATGTCACCTAAAAGGTAAACCTGTTTCTCCATCACCTGTTCAGCTCTGATGATTCAGTAAGGACATCTCCTGGTTTCATCTTCACGTTTCCCTCTCACCATATATCCAAACCGATATCATGACCAGCAGCTGTTACAGCTGTGGCTCCAGCCAACATCAGCTGATACTAGAAAGTAATATTAAATAAATTCTAATAGCAGCTGATCAAGTTTTAACCTGCTGCTGTTGTTTAGAGCGACCACCGCTGGTTTCCTCTTTCTGGCTCGAAATGCACGATAAACAAACAAGAGAGAAAAGCGATCAGCTGATCATTGATCAGTTTCATCATTTAAGTAGCAACAGGAGAGGGAGAGAGAATGGGAGAAGAAGAGGCAGCTGGCCACGTAAAGACACAGAAGAACTCCAGCTTTGTGTATTTTTTTTTCATTCAAGCTGGACATTCAAGCACACTTTACTTTCTGAACCTTTTGTTCAGTTTCAGCAAGAGCTGGTTTTCTAAATTAACAGAGGCAATCCGACTTGGTTTGGCTGTGAAGAGTAGACCAGCACAGCTAAAAAGTCGTTCACACGCAGCAGAAGCAGGCAGAGCTGTGTTCAGTTTAAGAGAGAGGTTTTTGATACCTGAGAAGGAGTGCAGCAGCTCCATGGTGTCTGTGGCACAAGCAAGGTAACCATCAAGCTCAACTGCACTTTGCAGCCTTCTGGAGATTGGTCTGGAGAAGAATTCATCTTCATCAGATGACTCTCTTTGCTGATCCTCACTCTCATGCTCTGTCGTTTCAAGATGTTGTTTGATGTATGTCAAGGCTGTAATTGCAAGTAGATAACACAATTTTGTTATTTACATTTCAGTGATTATTCCTGAACACAAATTTAAAAACGGCAAATTCTCAAAAAGGATTGTTTAGTATTCGGGACAGACCATCAATAACTTACAATGTATTAGGTGAAATACTCACTTAAGCATGTGTTCAAATGTAAAAATACACAAAAATGGGATCACATGAATCCTTACCAGCCTCTGTTACATCTGCTCTGTCAGTCCAGGAAGTCTTGAACTTGGGTAAGAGGACTGCAGCTGCAGCCAACTCTGGATCCTCCATCATCGCTCCAAAACGCTTTTGAAGGCCATTTTGCAGGACTCTGATGAGTGGCACGCATGTCTTGCTTGATGTCTCCAGCCTGCTAAGTTTGAACAGTAGTTGTTGGATTACTGGCAGGAGCCATCCCATAAAGGAAGTGGACTCAGACTGAAGAATGTTTGAAGCTTTCACCAGTGGCTTCATGGTGGTACAGTACTCCCTAAGGAATGCAACTTCTGCAGGACTCAACCTGTAAGACACAACAACAAAACCCACCATGACTATAACAGGGATCTTCTGATTTAATATTAAGAGTCTGCTCACGTTTTTAACCATCCATTAAGGAAAATTCACAAGATTTGCAACCATATTGGTAGGTGTCCAATTTTACTCACATTTTCACCTTGAACTCCTCACAAATGCTCCTGATGGCATTTTCCCCCTTCTCATCAATGATGCGTATTATCCTTTCAATGGCAAGGTAGGTTGAATTCCATTGTGTTGCATTGGGACGAATGATCTGTAGTTCACACTTGTCCTCTACCACTTCATTAGCCAAATGAGTTTTGTTCCAAATGGCCTGGCATTTTGCAAAGCATGCACGGGAGAGCCTCTCGTAGGTTTCCTTCATGCTCTCTGCTAGGGCAGCATCAGATGTTGCCACAAGGTTTAGCAGGTGACATGCACATCGCTGATGAGACGGGAGTTGATACTCCAAACCAGAGTCTTCATCAAGAATTGCACTTGCCTCATGGTAGTCAATATGGTCAGTCAGGTCAATAGTTTCTGGGTCTGTTTCATCTTCAGCTTCATCTGCATCATTTTGTGCCCCAAACAGTGGATCCAACTTTGTCAAGGCCTTCCACATATCAGTTGTGGTTCTTACAACTTTGCCTCTAATCTTGTATTGGCAATGGATATCATCAAGCGCACCAGCAAGCATGTCAAATGTGTGAGACCCTCTCAATCTTTTGCATGCTGGTGCTGCAGATCTTCTTTCCAGGGACTCTTCCTCCAATGGCATGTGACTCCAAGGTAACTTTTCTGATGAACTGACCAACAATCAGTAGTGGTAGCAACAAATTTGACTTTATCCAATGCTGCAACCAAAGTCATCTTCATGTGATCAGCAGCTTCACAGATTCTGGCACGGACAGTGGGTCTGGAGAGGACTTTGGCTTGAGGTTGTAATGTGGTAACCAATTCTTTGAAAGATGGCTGTTCTACCACTGCAAATGGCTGTAGACCCTCACATATGAAATTGATGACAAGCATGTCAACAGTTGCTTGTGGAACATGTTTGTTTGCAGCTCTCAACATCAGGTCTGGTAACTTGGCTTGTGTATTTGCTGAGAGCTTGTTTGGTGTGGCTGTGGCCTTTCGCTGACGAGATGTTGATGCCACAGTGATATTGTACTGCTCAATCTTCGATGGATGTTTCCTCTGTAGAGATAAATATTATCATACGTCAGGTTCATACATTACTTCATAACATCACTGTGATTAACACTACAGGAAAACATTTTTAAAACATCATTCAACTAGACATGAGCTAATCTTTGATTGTTTAGCATAGTATAAAAGAGTGGTGAATTTGGTCAAATCTTGCAGATATATTGCTGTATTTATTTACAAATGTAAACCAATTTTGAACGATCATTGCGAAAAACATGAATTTCTGTATACATTCCAAGTTCTGTAATCTGTATACTATCTGTAAAAAGAGTATCGACCAATGTATCAGTATCTAAATTTTTAAGTCCTTTTTATCAGTATCACCCTAAAGTTTTCAGTATTAGTCAGGTTCTAAAAATACTAAGAGAGCAAAATATGTGTATATAGCAAATGTAATTTAAGGAAAGGGATCACATACACAAAAATGCTGCCCATACAGCTAACAAATAAAAACAATCCACATTATGTTCTTTAAAAAAATATATCATATTGGGAAACATATAACCCTACTGATTAAGAGCCACGTCACTATGATAGACCTATATCAGGCCAATGATCCTGATCAACTGATCCATCAAGCGGGCTCTGGTACATGTCAGCTGAGAGCTGGAAGATTAATTTGAGATGCAGCTCACCACTGTGTTCAAATTTTGTTTTTGTTTTTTATATAGGCCAGCTGATTGTAGGCCTGTGAGTTTTAAATGACTACAAATTTAATTTATTGTAATGACGGTGGTTATCCAAATAATAAGCTAAAACATTCCTACGAATTTAGCTCAATTATGCATGCACACACGCACATTAGCTAGCTCCGTCTTATTTTAATATCAGGCTAACCAATGGCGGTGACAATATCTCAGCCAAACTAATAACCTTAACACACATGAAAAATAAGAAGGCAATATTGTACACGTATAGTTGTAAAACCTCTTACCTCAATGTGTTTTTGTTTTTTTTTAGATTAGACGCTGAAGTCTTGTAAGCTGAAATGACTGTAGAGGTCAAACAAAGTTTGCACTGCATCTGGACGCTGTCTCCTTTTCTCCCTCTGCACATGAAAAATTCCTCCAGGTATGGCCACGGGCACACGTCCTCCGTCTTTTCTACGTCGTTTTCATGGTTGACAGTTGTCCTCTGTCTCCATTTTGGCTTCTTTGTCTCCACATCTTCCGTCTATAAAGTAGTTTGTACTCCACCATGTAGCACCTCCAGACACCTGTGCCTGCTGCTGCATCAGAGTTTATTCTTTGCTTACGTCTTAAATTGGCCGGTCGGGATTGCACGGCTTTTTATGTAACTACAGCCCAGCCCATGCAGCAGTATATGAATGACTAACCTCGTATTTTGGATGGATTATCTCAGTTGTTCTCCTCGCGTATAGGTGTAACGGAGAAACAGCCAATCAAATCGCAGCTTTTCGGGCATTGGAAAAAAATGGGGTTTTTTTTACACTGAACTGTCTGAGCGCGGGTTCGAGTCCTGGTTGGGACAAAGGTTGTGTTACATTATCAAAAGTTAAACACCATTTTCAATTTACTTATTGTGGATAACATTTATTTTTCACTTTGCTTTTAATTTTTATTTCATTATCATTTTATTTAGATTATATAGTGTTATGGCCTGTGGAGCATTTTCTGCATTACGTACCTATACTGTCATAACTCAGACTGTATCATGACAGTCTTGAGATGATACATACCAGACATATAGTCTACAATTATGCAGACATCCAACTTTTAATAAAAAGACTAAAGCTAAAACTATAATACAGATACATTCTGATGACATAGAAAATGATGCTTATACATAATTTAAACAAGGCATGTCTGTAATAAGTCATCTGTCTGCTTCCTGGTGGCTGTTAGTTTATATCTATTCATTTTCCAGCACAAACTCAGTACTGACATCATTACTTTATTCCAGTCATGCTCTTGCCAGCCTCCACTCTGCATGCTTTAAATCTGTTGCTCTTCTGCTTCTACCATTCTGTGTTTCAGATCCTCAGCTATGCAGCCCGCCCTCTCTCCTTTCTCCTCCTCACCGTGGTCACTCAGAACCCTGTCCCAGCCTCCATCTTCATCACTACCAGCATTTTGACTCTGGGGTGTGGCTTATGCAAAATCCTGTCACTGCTGAGATTTTTCTGCTATGATGGGTCATTGGAGTCTAACTGCCTAACAGTTACATTTATTTCTGTATCTCAATAAATCATGTTCGGTTTTTCCACATGATCTCTCCTTATTGAACTGCTTTTGTAGATAAGCTTCAAGCCAGAAAGCAACAATACCTAAACCAAAAATATTATCATCAGAAGTGAGAAAGTGTCTGGACTATCTCCAGCTGTGTTGCATGTATTAAAGATAACTTCAGACACTGTCTGGTTGTCATGTCTGAAACAGGCTGTATAGTCACACAGATAAAAGACAGCAGTCATGTTTCTAATATTACAAATCAACCAGAAAGATTATAAAGATAAAAGCTGTGAGACCCCACTAGAGAAAGGATGGCTTGTTATCATTACATGAAGTGATTTAGAAATAATATGTAAGCTTTCAGGGCTGCACTCATAGCTTTTTAAAACTGATTACCTGATGGTGAGCACACACAGGTATATAAACATACAGGTGAACTCTAAGAGGTTATAAAGAAGAGAGCTGTGCTGCTATTTTTACAGAACACAATTTATTCACATTTTTATATTTACAATCAGTTTTTATTTATATAAACAAAATAAACATTACAAAACTAGAACAAAACTATCTTATGTACAATATCAACAGTTTCTCCCCTATTTCCTCTTTTCTTCCACCCATCTTTGTCTCTCTGCCTCGTAGAAAGGAGACTCCTGAATCTCCTTCCAGGTGCTCTTGGCTCGTGAGCCAAAGCCAACCAGCTGATCATCCTCAGAGGCTTCTGCAGCAACACTCACTCTGCTGGTCTTGCAGTTCAGAAGAGTCTTTATCTCTGTAAAGCTGAGGGCATACTGTACAAATGAATGCAAGCTCTCCTTGCCATGCCCTTCTTCCACAGAGGTCCCTGCAGCCTCTTCCTTCTGGAGATCTTTGATCAGGTACATGGTGTACCCGACATCATTCCCCAGAAGCCACCGGAAAGATTTCCCTTTATACTTTCCAAACTGCAGAATGTACTCTCCCTGCACTTCCTTCATGTCAGACTCATCCCCTCCTCTCTGATAGATGACAGTCAGAGCATTCTGATGTACAACATCATCCCTCACAGGTGCAGACTTGTCCTGCAGTTTGGGGTCATTTTTAATCCGTCGAGCTTCTTTTGACGGGTCCTGGAGAAGGTATCCAAGTGGCCCCTTGCGGAACAACCACAGAGATTTTCCCTGGATATGGCGCAACTTTCTTCTGCATCTTGACAAGCAGTGAAAAAATAAACAATTATATTAAACAAAATTGATTCCAAACACAAACAAAGACATTTCAGGTTATAATCTTGCTGCTGGGTTTACACAGCAGGATGCAGGAGAACAATAACGAGACTCAATTTGAAAGAACATTGACAACATTTGGGATAAAAGTGTTTTTTCCTCCAGGTATAACAAACTGTTCTGTCTGTAAATAAAAACCTTTCATGGTTGAATGATTATTGGCATATCTGCAAAATTTGTGGTAACTGCTTAGTAGTCATGGCACATAAGAATTGCTGGTAGATTAACAACATATATGTATTTAAGCTATCGTGTTTATTCATACACGAGTGGGCATTGCTCATGTTAGAGATATCAAAACAGATTTTCGCATTGATAAGGTGACTGACCATTACAACATGAAAGCAATACATTTTCTTTTAAAGCAGGTTCAGTCATTTAGCATGTCATCTCATAACAAGACACTTATTGGTTATTTAATTGTACCACATTATAGTAATGTCAGTGTCACAGCAGTCGGAAACCTACAAAGTTTATTTAATGGCAAAACACGTCAATGAAACACGTAATTTATTTAAGGATCACGTTCATTCATTTTTTACCGTGCCACTTTACAACAGCAGATAAACTCCCACTGTCTTTAACTGAGCGATGGATGCTTCGTAAATGCAATCGCAACACGCCTATTACCTGTAATATACACCTGTAAATGTATTCTGTTTGGTTTACTGTTATTTCAAACGACGTTTCTTACCTTTGATCAATGAATGAGGAGCGTTGGGATGTGTTGCGAGCGTTGAGTTACTTGTTTTCTCTCCCGAAACGTAAAAGAGGAGATTTTTTAAAAGTGCCGCCGCATCTCAAACTCGTTACAGCGCCGGAAGACCGTAGTGGCCAAAAATATATTACATCCGTAGTGGTTTAGCACTACCATAGAGAATGAATGGGAAACGGTTTAGGCCGTTTAGCTAAACAATCCCAGGCTCCCGCGCGACAAACGTCACTGCTGTTTAGTTTTCTGTCTTCATTTATGTTGGAAGTGATAGCAGAGCTGTACGTTTTAACTTGTTTCCAAAACCCCGCAGTCAGGACATGTTATATTGTATTTAGATAGAAGCTAGCGAGCTAACTCCCTGCTAACTTCTAACTCCGTTAAATGTCATAAATTCCGTTTTCATGGATGCCTGGATGTTAAACTCAATTGTTACACCTGGTAGAGCAGAACGCTGATCATTTTATTAAAGATGAAAGACTTTAGACAGTTTTTCAACTCTCAGTAATGCCATAGTGATCGTTTGATATATGGACCTGCAGCGGAGTTTAGACCCAGACACGGCTGAACAATCGGATAGTTCTATCACGTGCACGTGTACACGTTGACAACCGTAACCATGGTCGCCGAGGGTATATAAATGCTGCACAAGGTTCCAAACGTCCGTTTACACTTGCTCGTGGACTTGTTTCGACCTGCTCCAACCTCAGCCTGTGGAAAGCTAAGTTTTGCAAAACATTTTACTAAAAGCGGATTTAATTTGAGAGCACAAGTACTTCATCTGTGGATCGTTTGTACTTGTTTTTGTTTTTCAAGTTTGAAGATGGCTCGCCGTGGACCCGGACTCCCCGACTGTCACCTGGACTTCGCTGCAGGTACATTTGAAAATTTCTTTAAATGTAAATTACTGTAATAATTTAACAAGTTCCAGTGTGAATATCAAGTTCTAACGTGATCAAATATGTGTATTCCAAGATTGTTTCCCGTAAATTGTTTGTATGTTTTAAATTTTCCGGGAGAGGTGTAGAAATTATTAACGACTGGTGTATGAATATGAAAAAAAGGTGTTACTTTGATTTGAAGGCTTCAAATTTGACACTTTTCTTTAAAATGAAATGGTTAAAAATAGCTTAATGGACTAAAATTTGTAAAATGCCCAAAAATCAGTTTCTGTGGTAACGGCATCTTCAAGATGTCATGGCGTCAGAACACGCAGGCGTAAACACACAGATCCAGGTCCCCTCCTGACATCCTTTTCTTCTCCGGATCAAAGGCTTTATTGACATAAACTATATTTTTTCTCTGCTGCAAAACACAAAGATAGCAGATAGCTTTTCTTCAAATTCTTTAATTCTCAATCGCTTTTGTAACTTTGTACTTTTGTATTACTTGCAGCAACAACTCCACCTCATTGTTAGTCCATTTAAAAAACTAGTCGCTTTTCCTTTTCATTTTGCTGCATGTTTCAAAGAGCCGGAAAGTAAATAAACGGCAGACAGAAATGAGGCAGGTCGAGTCACCTTGCGTTTCACGCATGCGCAGTGCTGGAACGTAAGCGATTTAGGCAGTTTCAATGTGAACGCACAACTCTGTCAAAACGGTAGTTTGGACACGAGCATTTTCAGACAAAAACACCTTTTTCAAATTGATCCGGCCTAGTGTGACGTAAGATCACAGGCCGTTCCAATGACGTCACCAATCACCACACTTCAAAGCACAAAGCCTGCGTTGTCACAGTAACGCATTCTGCGATAGGAGGTCATATATAGGAGTGAACTTGACTCTCACACAGCCTTAACTGTCTGCCTGTCCTCATGTCTGCAGTGCTGCTGTCTCCGGTCACCCTGCATGTTTCTAAGGTTAGTTTTCTCCATATTTATATTGTTCTTGTAGTTTTTGTCCTCTGGTTTTTGTCCTTGAGGTTTGAATATACATGTCAAATCAAATCAAATCACTTTTATTGTCACATCACATGTGCAGGTACAGTGTTCAGCAGTCTGATGGCCTGATGGAAGAATCTGTCTCTCAGTCTGCTGGTACGGGACCGGATGCTGCAGAACCTCCTTCCTGTGGGAAGTAGTCGGAACAGTTTATGGCTGGGGTGACTGGATTCCTTGATGATCCTCCCCGCTTTCCTCAGGCAGCGCTTCGTGTGTGTGTGTGTTTGTGTCTGTGTGTGTGTCTGTGTCTGTGTGTATGTATGTATGTATGTATGTATGTGTTTTTTGTCCTCAGATTAGGTTTGAAGTGTCTGTGTGGTGCAGCTGGTCTGGTCTGTCTCTGTACAGTCGAGGCTGCACCCACCTATAAAAGGTGGAGGCTCACCAGGACATGCACACCTCACAAGTTCCCGGCTCTCTCGACTCTGTTGAAGACGGGTTTCTTGGAGAAGGGGAGGGCAGTGAGGCACAGTCCCCCGTCCCCCGACGCCCCTCGCGATGCTCCTCCGTCTTCGACTAACCCTCTGCATAGGAGCCGTGAGAGCCAGGAACCTGTGAGTTTTGTATGTCCACTCAGGCATCCTTCATACCTGGTCTGTAGGAAGTTCCTGTCAGAAGGAGGGGCACCGCGAGGGCGTCGAGGGCGGAAGGCGGTGCCTTAGTGCCTTCCTCCTTCTGACATTGTAAAGGAACCCTATTTTTTTAATGGTAAGATGTGTGTGTTGTGTGTGTGTGTGTGTTGTGTCTGTGTGTATGTTTGTGTTTTTTGTCTCAGATTAGGTTTGAAGTGTCTGTGTGGTGCAGCTGGTCTGGTCTGTCTCTGTACAGTCGAGGCTGCACCCACCTATAAAAGGTGGAGGCTCACCAGGACATGCACACCTCACAAGTTCCCGGCTCTCTCGACTCTGTTGAAGACGGGTTTCTTGGAGAAGGGAGGGCAGTGAGGCACAGTCCCCCGTCCCCGACGCCCCTCGCGATGCCCTCCGTCTTCGACTAACCCTCTGCATAGGAGCCGTGAGAGCCAGGAACTTGTGAGTTTTGTATGTCCACTCAGGCATCCTTCATACCTGGTCTGTAGGAAGTTCCTGTCAGAAGGAGGGGGCACCGCGAGGGCGTCGAGGGGCGGAAGGCGGTGCCTTAGTGCCTTCCTCCTTCTGACATTGTAAAGGAACCCTATTTTTTTAAATGGTAAGATGTTTGTGTCTCTGTGTGTGTGTGTGTGTGTGTGTGTGTGTGTGTGTGTGTGTGTGTGTGTTTTGTACTCAGATTAGGTTTGAAGTGTCTGTGTGGTGCAGCTGGTCTGGTCTGTCTCTGTACAGTCGAGGCTGCACCCACCTATAAAAGGTGGAGGCTCACCAGGACATGCACACCTCACAAGTTCCCGGCTCTCTCGACTCTGTTGAAGACGGGTTTCTTGGAGAAGGGGAGGGCAGTGAGGCACAGTCCCCGTCCCCGACGCCCCTCGCGATGCCCCTCCGTCTTCGACTAACCCTCTGCATAGGAGCCGTGAGAGCCAGGAACCTGTGAGTTTTGTATGTCCACTCAGGCATCCTTCATACCTGGTCTGTAGGAAGTTCCTGTCAGAAGGAGGGGGCACCGCGAGGGCGTCGAGGGGCGGAAGGCGGTGCCTTAGTGCCTTCCTCCTTCTGACATTGTAAAGGAACCATATTTTTTTTTAATGGTGAGATGTATGTTTGTGTCTGTGTGTGTGTGTGTGTCTGTGTATATGTATGTATGTGTTTTTTGTACTCAGATTAGGTTTGAAGTGTCTGTGTGGTGCAGCTGGTCTGGTCTGTCTCTGTACAGTCGAGGCTGCACCCACCTATAAAGGTGGAGGCTCACCAGGACATGCACACCTCACAAGTTCCCGGCTCTCTCGACTCTGTTGAAGACGGGTTTCTTGGAGAAGGGGAGGGCAGTGAGGCACAGTCCCCCGTCCCCGACGCCCCTCGCGATGCCCTCCGTCTTCGACTAACCCTCTGCATAGGAGCCGTGAGAGCCAGGAACTTGTGAGTTTTGTATGTCCACTCAGGCATCCTTCATACCTGGTCTGTAGGAAGTTCCTGTCAGAAGGAGGGGGCACCGCGAGGGCGTCGAGGGGCGGAAGGCGGTGCCTTAGTGCCTTCCTCCTTCTGACATTGTAAAGGAACCCTATTTTTTTTTAATGGTGAGATGTATGTTTGTGTGTGTGTGTGTGTTGTGTTGTGTATGTATGTATGTATGTGTTTTTGTCTCAGATTAGGTTTGAAGTGTCTGTGTGGTGCAGCTGGTCTGGTCTGTCTCTGTACAGTCGAGGCTGCACCCACCTATAAAAGGTGGAGGCTCACCAGGACATGCACACCTCACAAGTTCCCGGCTCTCTCGACTCTGTTGAAGACGGGTTTCTTGGAGAAGGGGAGGGCAGTGAGGCACAGTCCCCGTCCCCGACGCCCCTCGCGATGCCCTCCGTCTTCGACTAACCCTCTGCATAGGAGCCGTGAGAGCCAGGAACTTGTGAGTTTTGTATGTCCACTCAGGCATCCTTCATACCTGGTCTGTAGGAAGTTCCTGTCAGAAGGAGGGGCACCGCGAGGGCGTCGAGGGGCGGAAGGCGGTGCCTTAGTGCCTTCCTCCTTCTGACATTGTAAAGGAACCCTATTTTTTTAATGGTAAGATGTATGTTTGTGTCTGTGTGTATGTATGTATGTATGTATGTATGTATGTGTTTTTGTCCTCAGATTAGGTTTGAAGTGTCTGTGTGGTGCAGCTGGTCTGGTCTGTCTCTGTACAGTCGAGGCTGCACCCACCTATAAAAGGTGGAGGCTCACCAGGACATGCACACCTCACAAGTTCCCGGCTCTCTCGACTCTGTTGAAGACGGGTTTCTTGGAGAAGGGGAGGGCAGTGAGGCACAGTCCCCCGTCCCCCGACGCCCCTCGCGATGCCCCTCCGTCTTCGACTAACCCTCTGCATAGGAGCCGTGAGAGCCAGGAACTTGTGAGTTTTGTATGTCCACTCAGGCATCCTTCATACCTGGTCTGTAGGAAGTTCCTGTCAGAAGGAGGGGGCACCGCGAGGGCGTCGAGGGGCGGAAGGCGGTGCCTTAGTGCCTTCCTCCTTCTGACATTGTAAAGGAACCCTATTTTTTTTTTAATGTAGATGTATGTTTGTTGTGTGTGTGTGTGTTTGTGTGTATGTATGTATGTGTTTTTTGTCTCAGATTAGGTTTGAAGTGTCTGTGTGGTGCAGCTGGTCTGGTCTGTCTCTGTACAGTCGAGGCTGCACCCACCTATAAAAGGTGGAGGCTCACCAGGACATGCACACCTCACAAGTTCCCGGCTCTCTCGACTCTGTTGAAGACGGGTTTCTTGGAGAAGGGAGGGCAGTGAGGCACAGTCCCCCGTCCCCCGACGCCCCTCGCGATGCCCCTCCGTCTTCGACTAACCCTCTGCATAGGAGCCGTGAGAGCCAGGAACTTGTGAGTTTTGTATGTCCACTCAGGCATCCTTCATACCTGGTCTGTAGGAAGTTCCTGTCAGAAGGAGGGGCACCGCGAGGGCGTCGAGGGGCGGAAGGCGGTGCCTTAGTGCCTTCCTCCTTCTGACATTGTAAAGGAACCCTATTTTTTTAATGTAAGATGTGTGTGTGTGTTGTGTGTGTGTTGTGTTGTGTGTTGTATGTGTGTTTTTGTCTCAGATTAGGTTTGAAGTGTCTGTGTGGTGCAGCTGGTCTGGTCTGTCTCTGTACAGTCGAGGCTGCACCCACCTATAAAAGGTGGAGGCTCACCAGGACATGCACACCTCACAAGTTCCCGGCTCTCTCGACTCTGTTGAAGACGGGTTTCTTGGAGAAGGGAGGGCAGTGAGGCACAGTCCCCCGTCCCCCGACGCCCCTCGCGATGCCCCTCCGTCTTCGACTAACCCTCTGCATAGGAGCCGTGAGAGCCAGGAACTTGTGAGTTTTGTATGTCCACTCAGGCATCCTTCATACCTGGTCTGTAGGAAGTTCCTGTCAGAAGGAGGGGGCACCGCGAGGGCGTCGAGGGGCGGAAGGCGGTGCCTTAGTGCCTTCCTCCTTCTGACATTGTAAAGGAACCCTATTTTTTTTAAATGGTAAGATGTATGTTTGTGTTGTGTGTGTGTTGTTGTGTTGTTGTTGTGTTTTTTGTCCTCAGATTAGGTTTGAAGTGTCTGTGTGGTGCAGCTGGTCTGGTCTGTCTCTGTACAGTCGAGGCTGCACCCACCTATAAAAGGTGGAGGCTCACCAGGACATGCACACCTCACAAGTTCCCGGCTCTCTCGACTCGTTGAAGACGGGTTTCTTGGAGAAGGGGAGGGCAGTGAGGCACAGTCCCCCGTCCCCGACGCCCCTCGCGATGCCCCTCCGTCTTCGACTAACCCTCTGCATAGGAGCCGTGAGAGCCAGGAACTTGTGAGTTTTGTATGTCCACTCAGGCATCCTTCATACCTGGTCTGTAGGAAGTTCCTGTCAGAAGGAGGGGGCACCGCGAGGGCGTCGAGGGGCGGAAGGCGGTGCCTTAGTGCCTTCCTCCTTCTGACATTGTAAAGGAACCCTATTTTTTTTTAATGGTAGATGTATGTTTGTGTTGTGTGTGTGTTGTGTTGTGTATGTATGTATGTGTTTTTGTCTCAGATTAGGTTTGAAGTGTCTGTGTGGTGCAGCTGGTCTGGTCTGTCTCTGTACAGTCGAGGCTGCACCCACCTATAAAAGGTGGAGGCTCACCAGGACATGCACACCTCACAAGTTCCCGGCTCTCTCGACTCTGTTGAAGACGGGTTTCTTGGAGAAGGGGAGGGCAGTGAGGCACAGTCCCCCGTCCCCCGACGCCCCTCGCGATGCCCCTCCGTCTTCGACTAACCCTCTGCATAGGAGCCGTGAGAGCCAGGAACTTGTGAGTTTTGTATGTCCACTCAGGCATCCTTCATACCTGGTCTGTAGGAAGTTCCTGTCAGAAGGAGGGGGCACCGCGAGGGCGTCGAGGGGCGGAAGGCGGTGCCTTAGTGCCTTCCTCCTTCTGACATTGTAAAGGAACCCTATTTTTTTTTTAATGGTGAGATGTATGTTTGTGTT